TAAATTTCGTGATTTTTGTGTTTAAGCGATTGTTTCTTATATCTATTCAGAGACGATCTTTGTGAAACAATAATTTCTGAGTCACCTACATAAAAAATCATTCAATTACATTTGAAAGTATAAGCGGATATTTGAATTCTCTAATATTTCTTCTAAGTGCATAAAGTTGAAAAAGTACTTAGAATAGTAAGACTTTTAAAAATTTGAAATGTTTTCGAAAATGTTATGCACATTAGTGGTAGTTGCGCTTATCTTAGGGTAAACATACGATTAAACAAGAGTCACTGGCACAGTAGTCAAAAATAGCAAATATGTAATCCATTGCAGTTGCTCCTCTGGATACTGAAATGGATTGGACTACCGTGACGATTGTCACATACTCTAACGAGCGAATAATGCTTTGGAAACACAATAAGGATGCATTGAAAGAGGTGAAACTATGTTTTCAAATTTTTAAGCGATATCAGTTTAATGTTTTCAAATAAGAACATGACACAATATGATTGATACTAGTACCTACAAAGTTGATAAGAAAGATATGTTTGGCACATTCTAAAAACACTAAAAACTTAAAATAAAAATATTACTAGAGTTTAATATTTCGCGCAAAATGCCAAGTGAATCCTTGCAAAATAGTTCCTTGCAAATAGTTAGTTAGCCACAACTAACGGAAACGGACTCATACAATGTATGTATTTTGTTAACACAACTAAAGTAGTTATTTACTGCGTATTTTTTATTAACTGTAATTGAGTGGCACTAAGTTAAGGCCAAAGGTTTGACTTGCTTTTATTTGAGCATACACAATATTCGGATTTTTAGTAAATTTAATTGAAAATTTATTTGTTTTATGCTCTGACTTTGCAAACAGCAGCAAATAATTTATTATTTAGTGAAATTGGCTAAAAATACACGTTTGCAAAAGTACACGGGAGCAATTTTTTTAATGCCCGCGTGTAGGTAAATTAATTCCGTTGGCGTTTGCTGCCAAAACAACATAAACACCAAAAATATGGAAACAACAGTGAAGTTTTACAGGACTTGTAAAACGTATGGTATATTGCCAACTGCAGGTGGCTGACACTTTACGACACCGGCCACGCTTTAAGCCAGCAATTAACAATGAAATATACGGCATACATCGGCTTAGAGTTTTTGTTCATTTATCTGCATACATGTCCGATTGGGAAAAATTATTGGCCACGAAGTAATAAAAAAATACACAAAATATTGAAAGAGAAAAACATTTAAAACACTTAGATTATAAATATAAGCCCAACAGATTGAAATATAGACCATGATGAATGTAAAAATAATTATCTTTACAATGGACAAATCGGAAATTTGCGAAAATTTTTATATGAAATGAAAATATTTTGTTTGTAGCAACTTGGAGAAATCAGAAATCTCAAATAGAAGTACTTTTTCTGCGTTTAATAGACCTCAATTTCAAAGAATTAAAATTAATTTTAAAATTAATTCAATTTAATTAAAAACGTTTTTATTTTTTTTTTAATGATTTAATGATTTAATAAATTTTAAAATTGTAATTCATTGCTTCGGATTTCATTTAACTATTGTGCTTCACAACAATATGAGTTCTTACTCTACCAAAGTCTGTACGTTAGTCCCTTGTCTTTCTTCCACTTCTAAATAAAATGTATAATGGCAATCTGTTTTCATGTTATGTCAGCAGCACAAGTGCTTGGCTTTTAGTTTTTGTTCAGTTCTATAAACTTAAGCCATTTTTAACTCGGAAGTTCATTCTACTTTTATTTCTTTTCTAAAATTTTTATTTAATTACTCTTTTTATTGGAAGAAGAAGCCTTATTCTTTGTGTTCCTTAGACTTTTAATAGTTTTAAAGCTGCAACGTGGCAAGCAGTTTTTGTGTTTAGAATAATAAATTTTATCATCAAAAAATTAAATGAACAATAAAGTTTTAGAGTTATTTATTTCGTACACATATATTCTGTATGAAGTTAGTTTTTTAAGAGGTGTAGACTTTTAAATTGAAATATAACAAACAAATAAATTAAATAGGTCAATATGTAACATACTTATACAGAAAGTGATCCAGTAGCACCAGACCACACAATCTAGGTGAGCAGGCCAAAGTAGTTATGTTGTTATAAGTTTTTATCTCAAATTGATGATTTCCCTAATAGTACAGCAAATTAAAAAAATTCTATGTACACCCATTGCATTCCAGACCATATTCTTGTATTCTTGGGAACAAAAATCGCTTGACATAGTTATTCTTAGAGTTAGTACTGAGATAAACATATCTGAACTATTGTCACATTGTTGGGGAATTGGAATTCTTTCTACAGAACTCAAATAAACAACATTGGTACGTTACGATTAGTTTATTAAATTAATTCGCTTTAGAACAAAAGGTGGAGATCATATTGAAGATCTTATGAAAGTATAAATTATTTTTGCTGGAATATATGTGTCATTCAATTTTTCTGAGCTTATTTTTGTTGTAGTTTCTAATTAGGAGCAATAGGGTACTGATTTTCTTAAGATCATTCTTGAATTTTTAATTTCAAATTTGGAAGCGTTCCTTCTTACTTTAAGTAGTTTGCAAATATTACAAACTGTAAATTGAGTGCGTTTATTTAATTGAGTGGTTTTATTTGTCACAAATACAGCTCAATGTTGTGGAATTTTATATGTTATGGAATTTAATCTCTGTTAACTAGCATGATGACTCCACTGTATTGAAGTCCTATTTATATTCTCCAATATAATTATAATGTTCTTAATTTTATTTATTTAAAATTTTTATAACTCCAATTTCATAGTAATATCCGTGCTAATCAAATGCAGTGTGAACACTTAATGTTAATAGGGCAATTATCGCGAAGTATGATAAGATATATTCTGCTTTATTCTGCTCGTATTTTTATAAATTAAATAACGATCCAAATAATAATATTCCAAACTGTGAAATTTTCTAGAAAAACTTGAACCGAACGAGGAATCCCAAAGATAAATTAAATTGGCAACTTAACTTATCGCACAGTGCAAGTAAAAACTCTGCAAGAAAAATTATTGTAGAAACTCCTTTTTTCTTTTTTAAAAATTTATTTAAACCGACAGTTTAATAGGAAAAGTTTTGAATTTGATGAATATTCCGCATCTTCGGGTGCAAAGCGAAATTTTTGCAACACCAACTTTTTATTACAAGTTAGTAACACTTTTGCCGTTGCATATGTAGCCACTTTATTCACAGGGTTCTTATGTTTCTCATTCGAGGCAGAAGTATTGAACTGTCTAGCAGCATCTGCAACCACAAATCGCACATTTTTGAGAGACGAGCAAGCAATAAGTCGCAAAGTCAAATGCATTTGGATAAAAGAGATAACAAAATGGTTGTGTGTTGCCAAATGTACCATAGGTCGGCTTATGTTCATTGCATATCTGTTCCATTGAACTTGTACAAGAAACGGCAACACATTTCCAAATAAATACAAATAATATCATATGCTGTAAATCTTTTTTTCAATACTTTCTTTTAATAGTTTTAAAAGACAATACATTTCGTTTTCATCAAAATAATGACAAATAAAATATCCCTCTTAAATCGTCATCCATTGTATCTTTGACCATTACTCACTCTTTTATTTGTTGATTTCATCTTCCAAATTCACTCAAAGGATTGAAATTGATTTTTAAAGTTTCGGAAATCGAAGTCCAAAATACAAAGCAAAGCTGAAGATTGGGCAAAAGATAAAAAAGTATAAGGAAGTCAAAAACTTTTTGGTCCGCCTCTATCTTCATCAACATCAACATCCTTATTACCATTGAGTTTTACGAGTTTGATTTTATTGGCATACGTACAAAAATTGAATTTCTTCAAAAATATGTATTGTTCTTTCAGTTATTTATGTCAACATAATATTTTCTATATACAGTATGCATAATTATATAATATATTATCTAATATAATATTATAATAATATTACATAATTATAACTTATATAAGAATGCACATATATGTATGTGCAAATATATATTTATTTAAGTTACTGAAATTTTTTTTGACATGAAAGTTTAACAAAATTAGAATTGTTTTGATTTTTATTTTACTACGTTTCATATTTTAAAAATAATTAACACATATTCAAGAGGCTCATCTCATTTTCAGGCTGCTCTATATTATCCTATAAATGCAATTTAGAGTCTATGTAAATAGGTGTATGATAACAGAAAGATACTATGTAGAATGAATATTTAAATAATTTAAGTAATATTTAAGTAAACCTTTAACATTTGGTATTGAAATGTAAAGCACTTATTATTATTATTATTGAGAAAAAGCATAATAAACTGCAATCTAAAATATATATCGTGCCCCTTAGCCGGATTAGAGTGTTTCTGCAAGTCCGATTTTTTAATGAAAAACAGTATAGAACCTACCTTTCCCAGTCTTGAATCCTTATGATTCATGATATACCCTCCTAGGTGTTTCATCCACTTGTGCACCATTGACGGGCACTCCTCAAGCACCTGCTATGCAGAGTCTCTCTCTCCTTTACAGTATATACAGTCTGAGTTGGATTGAATTCCTAACTTTGTTAGGTGGTTATTCAATCTACCGTGACCGGTCAATAATCCCGTAATAATTTTTAGTTTATTTTTTGATTGTTTTATGCAATCTTTGAAGCATTTTAGGTTGTAGGTCCGTAACAGGATTTTAGATTGCGATAGTCTTTGTAGCCTTCCGCAATAAAGTTCTCTTTCTTTTTCCCAATTCCCAATTCTTTTTGTTGCCAAAATCAGTTTTGAATTTTTTTTGTAAAATTATGCTTTGCAAATCTTTCTGTGCGTTGGCATTTAAAACCACTTAAATCTGATTAAAACCTGATTGTTTAATTTAACTTATGTAATCTAATAATGTTCGGATTTCTTTCATAAATAATTATATGTAAATAGCTAAATTAAGTTTAAAAAAGCAGAATAAATATAATAATTTGATTAATCTTTTTTCAGGATTATCCACCTCAACTAGATTTCTCAACTCCACCGCTTCCTATGGCACACATGCAGCCCGTTACACAAGCTTCCATTATTGGCGGTGCGGCAGTTCTAGGTAATGGTAGTAGTAGCACATTGCGACGTGGAATAATGCGTGGAGTTGTAGGCGTACCACCACCTGATGTTACTCATCATACAACCAATTTAGGTAGTGTACAAATTTTGCATGATCTGCACCCCATAAATTTATCTGGAAACTCAACACAAACCACAAACACCGCGAATGGTAGCATGATGTCCGTAATAAGCACTGCTCCCAAGCAACCTCAAAGCATTTTGAAAGATCCTAATCGCAACAAACAGCAGCAACAGCAGCAGCAACAGCAACAGTTACTTAGTGCAAGTCTTGTGGGCGTAACTGCTCCGCCAGGCAGTTTACAAATATTAAATATACCTACATCAGCGGGTATTAGCAATAGTTTGTTAATGACCACAAGCGCCACATATGACCCAACAAATCCACATGGCATGAGCACTTTTAATGCTGGAGCCACTATGGCCTACACCGATGCAGACGGACATCTTGTATAGCTGTAGGAAGTAGCAGGGGTCGATTCCGCTGCTTTTATAACCATTTTAAATCCTATGCCCCGTTATTGAGGTATCAACGGAAGAGAATAATAGAATAATATCTACAAATAAACTAATTAAATCATAATTATGTATTTAAAGACTAAATCGTATCAGTGTCCGCAGCATTTCAGCCACAATGGCGTAACGATATGAGGACTCAGATATATGAAAATTGCTGTGTGTTATTTTATTACAGATTTTATTATGGTCAACTCATTAATACTATGAATTAAACGCTGAACTATCTTACTTATGCTGTTAAAGCACTTATTAACGTTGAGCGGATTAGATCGGCTAATATCGCCTATTTAAACTCACCACATATAAATATCTGAAACTATGTAATTATTTTTTTTAAATAAGTATATTTCTGTTCGTAAATTCGGTTTATAGAAACTAATTGCCAAAGCTTTAGTTAATGTTTAACAAGGAAGCAGCGCAAAATAGTTGACAAATGATAAAAACAAAATTTTTTTAATTAATTTGATTTCTAGTCGCAAAACTCATAAAAACAACAAAAAGTAATAATATTTATATTTAAAAATATAGAAAAAATAGTTTGGTTAAGGAAACCTCTACTTTAAGCAATTATCTCTATCTCACTTAAATAAGTTGAAATGAAATATTTTAAATATTTAAGATGAAACTGATTTGAGAGGCGAGCATAAACATAAACAGGTCGAAAAGACACGCAGTGTTCTTAAGTAGCGGAGCGCGCGGAAAGTAATTACAAATATGGGGTACATATAACGTATGAAAATAAAAAATTTAAATTTCCAAATTTTTAATTTCTGTAATTTCGCTATTCCGATTTGATTGCTCCCTTAAGTCCTTGTTTCTTCTAAGTTTGGCATTTAGCCTTCGCGCGCTGTTAAACAAATTCAGTAGTCACGAGCGTACTTAACGAAATGCTTCGTTGTGGTGCGGCAAGCAGAGCGAATTCTCAAATTGTAGTTTGCTTGGCGAAGCGTTTAATTCGACTAAGCCATTGCGTGCTGATGTATGTACAAACGTGTGTATGTGTTTATTGTGCGCCGCTAGTTGTGCAGAAAACTGCGGCAGCAAAAGATTAGTTGCGTTTGATGAATTTAAACAAAAAACGGTTGTTATTTTTCCAAATTCGTAAAGTCATTCGGGAGGTAAAAATTCGGTGAAGTTGAAATTGTAGAATGTAACTCAAACTTACTGAAACAGATCCTCTAACCACACAATTTATCCATTTACCAGTGACACATTTTATTGTTGGTATTTATTTTACACCGACGGTACAATTTATGGTTAATACATACATGTAGTAATGCTCATTACGCGTACCCAACCCCACGTATTTCATTTCTTAATTCAAAAATCAAAAATCAAAAAAAAAAAATAAATTATAGACGTTTCTAATTTTTTTTTTTCTTAAATCCGCAATTGAAATTTGATGAGCTGCATGTTTCTGTCAAGAGCCATTGTTATTTACGTTTAGATAATCAGTGCAATACTTCCAATTTGGTTTGCACTGAGTTCTGAGTAAATTTTTCCACAGCTATCGTTTTACCACCACGTATTCTGAATGAAGTGCCTTATAGGTGTTCATGCATCAAATGCACTGGCGTGTACTGTCGAAGCTGTAGAGAGTGTGGCTGAGAGTCCCTCTACTAAGCCAAGTATAACCTAGCTTAGAAGTAGTTAAGCAAATTGAGCGCCAATTGTTTTTTAGTGAATATGTTTGTGCATACGAATAGGTTAAGATTTTCATAGTAATACTTAAATGCTCATAAATTGTGAAACTTTCGCCCGAAGAAGAAATAAAAAATATTTACTAAAATTATGAAAGGCTCGCAAATAATGATACTGAAACTTAACTGATACATGCTTATCGGAATTGAAACTATGTTATTGAATTCAAACCATTCAACTGTTTCTTGCCAATATCAAAGTTGCCTTTCTGAACTGTGTTCCATTAAATTCAAGGCACAATGACGTTATACAATGACACAATGACAGTAAAGTTACTCCATCCTAAACCAAATATTTGTCATTTGGATCATTAAAGAAAGTGTGGAAAGTCAATGGATCTCGTATCGCTGTGTATTTTGCGTATTGGTATTATCAAAGCATTAAATACGTTAACAACTTCAATTGCAAACAGTAATAACATTGCTATGAAAAATATATAAAATTCACTTCTAATTACGAATTAGCTGATATTTTTTTGGCCGAAATACTTGAATATCGTTACATAACCGCGCTAAGGCATACAGCACGGGAGAAGAGGATTCCCTCATATAAAAGCAAATTTCAAGACCGGCTTTGTCCAATTATTTCTTGCGGGGCAACATATTTAGAACATTATGGAGAAAAATTGATCTTGCGTAAGTGAATTCGAAACCATTGTCGTTAACAACACAATATAACAAGACATAAAAAAATAAAACAAATATGCAAGCTCTCTGACAGGCACATACAAGTGCTCGTGAGGATATCTGTTCGAATTAGTTGGCAGTCGAGTTATGTTTAAATCTTTCACCATGGAGGCTGTGGAAAGATAGAAGCTCGTCACTACTACTCGTAGCAGTGGCAATAATTCAATTAAATAAATACTTCCAACATACACATGCGACGCTCACAAAAGCGACAAAAACTAATTCTAACAAAATCAACGAACGGCGTTTTAAGGAGCTTAAAGGCGAGCAACAACGAGAAACAAATTCTTAGGAATTTAATACTTAAGTGAAATTAAACTGTGTAATTTAAAACGTTTCAGTGGGGATATTATAAACCTGCAGATACTGTTAATATTTTCGCAATTCGCAAAGCATTTTCAAGTAAGCTTTTGTGTAAAACAAACCAGCGGAGGCATCGATATTTAACAAGAAAATTCCTTTCAGTGCTCGAAAACAAATTTGCCCACATATAAAAAAGATATACATATAAAGATACAATCAAACAAGCAGGCATGACTTTCTCGTGGCTACATAATTTAAAATAAATCTGACTTCTGATAAAAAAAAGTGCTTGGAAATTTATTTACAAGCAGAAAAAGCTTTACGTTTATCACTGGTATCAGCATTATTTTTTAGTCAACAAGAATTACAACAGAAGTTTCTTAAACTCATACGTCCTCATATCGACATTTATACGGGAGCTAAAATCTTGACTTTCTTTAAAGATAATTTTTTTTAAAAACTGGGGGCATTTTGTTCTTAACCAGCTTTTTACCAAGTAAAATATAGATGTACTAATTTCTGAATCACTTTGTAATTAGTTACTCATGTACCTTCAAACTCACGTATGAAAATATATTAATGCATTTTGTGTATACGTTTGTGACCAGAATTGGAAGACAACAGAAGAATGATTTCAACACATTGAAGTATTATCAGCAGAGAATAATGAAAGGATAATATGAACTTCGCTTTGTCCTTACTTTATATGGAGGTGAACGTATATAGTGTGTTTGCTAATAACATATATTGATCATATAAAATCAATACTATTTCGAAATAAAGTTGTTTAAAATAACAACACATGAAATAGATTTATTTGTAATTAAAAGTAAGATTTAAAATTCTGTCCGCAACTGAAAAAGAAAATCAATGGAAACAAACAAAGAGTCTGAAACTCTACGTAAATGAATCGATCAACGTCATTTGAAAGCTTTTAAGCAAACGTGAATTAGACAGCAAACGGGCAACAAAGCTTTTAGGCAAAATTTTCAGATGTCCGCAGCATATGTATATTTTCGCATATGTGACATACTTCTCTGCATGCAAATACGTCATTATGCGGGCACCATCAGCAAACCAAACGTTTGAGCTTTTCTGCGTGATACAAATTGATGAGAAAGGAAGTAATGAAAAATATCTTTTTTAAGTCTGTTAAATCGGATGAAAAAGATAATTGCCATAACGACAGAATGCTTCGGAAGTCCAACATGTGAAGCCTGCGGCAATTAAAAATCGATATGAGATTTAGGAAGAAAATCAGGGGCAAACAAAGAAACCGCAGCAGTTTTCATATTAGAAACTCAGCAGCATAAATAACACCAAACGAAAATGAAAGTTTTAATGGCGAAAGCAAAAAAACTTCTGAAATCTCATAAGTTGATTTTAGATAATACAATTGCAACCTCTATTGGTTTTAAAATCTTTGGTTTATTTCCTTGCGTCAGCAATATCCTAAATATCACTGCAGATATTAAGATTTAAAATTATTATGTATTAACATAAATAAAACAGTTTAACTTTTTGTGAACCAGACTAGAATGATTCTATTAATTTTAAACTTACATTTTTCAATAAAATAATTAAATGTTTTATAAATATGTTAAGTCAAGTGTTATTGTGTGTGAAAGTCATCGTAATCATCCTAAATTACTTTTTAGATATTATTTCGTATTAGGAATAGGTTAGAAGGATTTTTTATTTTTTTAAAATAATTTTATAATGTATTTTAATATTTTATTTGAATATATATATAATATATACTATAATACATTAAACGTTTTTGAAACTCAAGCTCAATATAATATATTGAAACAGCTTTACGGAAACACATTGGTTGAAATCAATATGAAAGTGCACTTGGCGAGTATTTATAGTTTATCTAAACTCTTGTGAATGTTATTTTTCGAAATAAATAAAATTTAAAAATTAATTACTTAATTAATTTCCGCTTTTTACAGAAATTTAGTTTTCGTTAAATAAAAATGAAGTTATTGTATTTTTAATTACTATTATTGAGTTCACATTCACACTTTTAGAACAACTAATTGTCATGTAATATAAGTGCATATCTCTTAATGCCTGCGGGTATTTGTGCATACTTGCCATATTTGTACTAATTTCGGTTAAATGAGTGATAACCATAATTTGTGAGTGATATGGGCAGTGTTGTAGGTCAAAAGTAATTTTGTGTACTCAATAAATGATACGTATATTTGATGTGAAAAACTTTTTTCAAAATAAAAAATTTAAAGTTGTTTCACGTGAAATTGCTTATTTCCATGAACTGATTTGTGACCATGCTGCTTGCTGCCATATTCCCACATATGAGCGATATAGCTAACGCCCACATTCACATATCTAACGGAAACTTAAGAAAACAGGTTTTTTTAAAAGTGCGATTGTGTGCAATGTCTAATGAGCAATAAGGGCAAACGATAGTAGAAAACAATAATGTAAAAACCCCCCATAAACAATATAACATCACAGTAAGGCTCTGTGCGTAAAACAACAGCAACAAAAACAATACATATATATGTATACAACATACTGGACTATGTGCTTCTGTAAATGTGACATAATAAAATGGTTGCGAGTGCTTCCAAGTTAAATACAAAGACGAAGTAATGGATTAAGTAATCATAAGTAAGCAGAAAAGCAGGCGTGTAAAAGTCACCAACGCTTCTGCATATAACATAATTGCCATAACAAACGCATTTAAATATAATATAAATATAGTTA